CTCGCTAAACCCACCTGGCGCACGAGGCGGCAACGAAGAGAACGAGGCAGCAACGGGCGGCAACGAGGCGGCAACGTGGCGAAACCTCGCCAGGCCCACCCAACGCACGAGGCGGCAACGAGGCGGCAACAGGCGGCAACGTGGCGAAACCTCGCCAGGCCCACCCAGCGCACAATGCGGTAACGAGGCGGCAACGGGCGGCAACGTGGCGAAGCCGAAATCTCGCTAAACCCACCTAGCGCACGAGGCGGCAACGAAGAGGCAATGGGCAGCAACGCGGCGAAGCCTTGCCGGACCCACAGAGCGCACGAGGCGGCAACGAGGCGGCAAGGAGGCAGCAGCGGGCGGCAACGTGGCGAAACGAGGCGGCAACGTGGCGAAGCCTTGCCGGACCCACCCAGCGCACGGGGCGGCAAGAGGGCGGCAACTGGACAAGACCTCGCCAGACCCACCCAGCGCATGAGGCGGCAACGAGACGAGGGGGCGGCACCGGGCGGCAGCGTCGAAAATCCTCGCCGGACCACCTCAATCCAGTAGGGCGACAAGCAAGACACCCCAAGTGCACGCACTGTTGGGTGGACAACAACAAACATGGCGTTGACAGTTTCTGTCTGTCGTGGGCCTTGGCCAGAGACATCTCGGGGCCTCTTGGGGACACGTTGGCGCCTGGGGGTTGTTGAACAGTCTAGGTGCCTTCCGAGAGGTCTACGCAAACCAACCTCTTGGGCGTTCTTCGCGGCTTCTGGACTCGACTGGTGAGAGGGTTTGAGGCCCGGGGGCCCGAGGGCACTAAAAGTCCACAGAGGGGCGTCAGCGGTCTACTCGAGTGGACGCATATGTGCGCATCCCGTTTGGCTCAAGACCAGGTTTGTACGAAAGGGGGTGACTGGTCACCAGTGACTGGTCCTGCATGGCTTGCCCAGCTGGAAACCTCCTTATTGAAGTACAAATAGATGAAGTGAGAGGATCGCGCCGCATCGCCGATGCACCGCTAGTGCATCTGCGCCGTCGTCGTGGAGAAAATCGGGCTCCACATCAAGTCGCACCGCCGATGCATCAGCGACGCGGTCCGATCCTCCGACTCCATCTGCTCTGAATCCGTTTGAAGACCTGGGCAAGCTGTCTCGCTAGAAAGCTGAACTCCTTCCCCTCCGACGCTGCAATTTTTCACGACGGCGACCCCTCCCCCGGGACCTCGACCATTGCTACAGGGCCGAATTTTCAGGCCGAGCGTTCTTGTTACCACCCCAGGGCCAGGACACGGGCCCTAGAGGCCGAAAGCGACGAGAGGCCGGCCGACACGATCTGTGACGCAGCGCGCGGGTCTGAGGGCAGGTTTGGTCAGCCCATCTCCGCCCATCGCCGTCGGCCCCACGTCCCAGTGCGGGCGAGCGGGAGCGGCGGTCCTTGCCCCTGAAGACGGTGCTGACCCAGCCCTCCTCGGGGGCGGCGCCGCCGAGTCACCCCCAGCGCACCAGTCTGCCGCGCGCCCTGCCCTCCTCTCGCTGCCTCCTCCTCCTCCTCCTCCTCCTCCTCCTCCTCCTCCTCCCCCTCCTCCTCCGCCTCCTCCTCTCTCCCCCCTTTCCCCTCCTCCTCCTCCTCCTCCACTGCGCCCTCTCTCCCCCTTTCCCTCATCCTCCTCCTCCTCTCCTCCTCTCCCTCCTCTTTCCACCTGCTCCCCGTCTCCTCCTCCTCCTCCTCGTATTTTTCTTGTGGTTAGTGTGATTGGTAGTGCGATTAAAGTTAGTACTATTAGTACTAATAGTATTAATACTTGTATTACTATTATGTTGTAAAAACAGTATTACAACGGCTATGATTATTGTATTGGTAGTCTGGGCACTAATACTATAGGTATGGTCACTCGTATTGCGAATCCGCTTACTAGTAAGAGTAATGTTAGAGTTGCTATCGTCATAAGTATCGTCCTGTTCATTGCTTTAAAATTAATAGTATACGTAATGAGATGCGTACTAGAATTATGACTATCAATACGGTTATGAGTAACAGTATAAGTATGCATACGTAAATGACTGTGAGTGGTAATAGTAATAGACGTACTCGTATTAGTAATGTTGGGAGTAGTGGTACCAACAGCATTGTGATGCGCATTCGTAGTAGTAGTAGTAGTAGTAGTAGTAGTAGTAGTAGTAGTAGTAGTAGTAGTACGATGAATCAGATCAGTAGTGCGAGTAGTCCTGATAGTACGCGTCTTCCTTGTATTATCAATACGAATAGTATCGTTATTATCTGTAGCAACACTAGCACTAGCATTAACAATCATAGCAGTTGGTCAGCATTAGCTGTTGTATTGGTAGTAGTAATCGTACTACTAATATGAATGTTGCTGTTGTTGGTGTTCGTAGTATCAGTAGTGTGATTACTAGTATTAGAAGTATGACTTACATAAATCATAGACTTATGCTTACATAAAAAGCATCGTTCGTGCTATTGTTGCTCGTTTAGTACCACGGTTAAGAATGTGAAAGTACGATGTGTCTTACTATTATTTGTCGTATTAGAATGCTGCTTGGTATCATTATTAGATACTGAAATCATTGATAGTCTTACTACGGAGAGCATCACCATGATTATGATTCGTGTACGTTATCGTCTTGTTCGTCTTCGTCTTCGTCTTTGTCTTCGCCTTCGTCCTCCTCCGAATCCTCCCTCTCTCCTCCTCCTCCTCCTCCTCCTCCTCATCCTCCTCCTCCTCCTCCTCGCTTCCCCGCTGTCAGCTCTGGCCCGCGGGTGGCCGAAGCGCGACCAGAGGGCACGGTGATGTGGATGTTCGTCGCAACCGCGCTCGCTCTGCGGTTGCCTGGGTCAGTGGCCGCGGTCCGCAGGCTTTTTTGTCAGCCAGGAATATCGATCCCTGCTCGCATTCACTTCTCTTCCCATCCCCCATCTTTTGGCAGAAGGGGGGGCAGGCCCTGAGATCCTGGCGTCGGATTTGTTTCACACATCTCGCGGTTTCGCCTCACTTCGGGCCCAGGGACCCGCGACGACCCATCCAGCTCGATGGATGTCGAGGAATGATGCGGTGCGTTGCTCCTGCTTGGGCTTCTCACGATGCTGCCATTCTTCGCAACGATGGATCTCAGGGGAAGGGGAGGGGAGGAGGAGGAGGAGGAGGAGGAGGAGGAGGAGGAGGAGGAGGAGACGAGGAGGAGGAGGAGGAGGAGGGGGGCGCGCTGCCCCACTCCCCCCTCCCTGCCTCGGGCCTGCCCTCGCTCCCCCCTGTGGAGAGCTGCCGCACTCCTGGGCAGTTTTTTCTGCCGATTGGGAGGGCGACCCGCTGCGGCCGTCCCGGGGGCCCGAACGAGACACTCCCAGTGGCATCCCCCTCCTCCTCCCTCCTCCTCCTCCTCCTCCTCCTCCTCCTCCCTCCTCCTCCCTCCTCCTCCCTCCCTCCTCCCTCCTCTCCTCCCTCCTCCTCCTCCTCCTCCTCCCTCCTCCTCCTCCTCCTCCTCCTCCCCGTCCTCCTCCTCCTCCTCCTCCTCATCCTCCTCCTCCTCCTCCTCCTCCTCAGCGTGCAGGGTGCGGTGCACTGCTGGGGCTGCGGTGTTCCTGGGGGGAACGGCCTGCATCGTGCACCGCGCGGGTGCTGCAGGGTGGGGCCGAAGCGCCCAAAACACTAGAACATTCCGGCCATGCGCTCACTGTCTGGAGTCGGTATTCCTGGGGGGGAGGGGCGCGATCTGATGCACCGTCGCAGCTGCCGTGGTCCAAGCGAAGAGCAGGGGCGCGACGTCACGCGCTGCCGCGGCGGCCGGTGGAGGGAACGGCGCGATGCGATGCGCTGCTGCGGCGGCTGTGGTGCATGGGGGAGACGGGGGAGGCGAGGTGCAGTGCACTGTCGAGGCGTCCTCGGACCACGGGAGAAGAGAGAAAGAGAGAGAGAGAGATGCACACGCTTTTAGCCTGCGCGCGCACGCGAGCACGAGGATGAGGAGGAGGAGGAGGAGGAGACGAGGAGGAGGGGAGGAGGAGGAGGAGGAGACGAAGGAGGAGGAGGAGGAGGAGAGGAGGAGGAGGGAGGAGGAGGAGGAGGAGGAGGAGGAGGAGGACGCGGACGAGGAGTGGCACAAAACCCGGGCCCGCCGCACGCGCACCGCCGAGCGGGTCGCGTCCCCCGGCAGTCCTCCCCCCCCACTCCTCCTCCTCCTTCTCCCTCCTCCTCCTCCTCCTCTCCTCCTCCTCCTCCTCCTCCTCCTCCCCTCTCCTCCTCCTCCTCTCCTCCTCCTCCTCCGCCTCCTCCTCCTCCTCCTCTCCCTCCCTCCTCCTCCCTCCTCCTCCCTCCCTCCTCCTCCTCCTCTCCTCCTCCTCCTCCTCCCCTCCTCCCTCCTCCTCCTCCTCCTCCTCCTCCCTCCTCCTCCCTCCTCCTCCCTCCTCCTCCTCTCCTCCTCCTCCGCCTCCTCCTCCTCCCCTCCACCCGCCCCTTTTCTCCTCCTCCTCCTTCCCTCCTCCTCCTCTCCTCCCCTCCTCCTCCTCCTCCTCCTCCCTCCTCCTCCTCCTCCTCCTCCTCCTCCTCCTCCTGCTCCTGCTCCTCCTCCTCCTCCCCCTCCTCCTCCTCCAACTCCTCCTCCTCTGTCAAAAACTGGGGGTGGGACGTGGGGAGCATGGGCAGCACGGGCCCGCATGGCGACTCGCTGCGGCTACTCTGACTCAAGGCCGAGAGACTGAGGCCTGCGCGGCGGCACGGGCCTGGTCCCCAGGGGCGCGCGGACATCGAGAGCTGGTGCGGCTGGTGCGCCAGCGTCGGGAGGAAAGGCCTCTCGACTTGGTAGCGGAGCATCGGTCCACCACGGACTTGAGGGCTCCCTCACCGCCACTGCGCGACGGAGGCTGGACGTCTCCAGCCACGAGCAGGTCATCGAGGTGACCAACGGCGAGCAGATGGTCTCCATCGAGGTGGAATGCGACCACAGCTCGGACTACTGGGTCGGCTTCTGGCCGGCCATCTTCTGATACTGCCCCTGGCTGGACTGCCCTTCTAGGACAAGATGGAGAACATACAGCTCGAGGTGATGGGCTCCCTGAAGATGCCGCCCGCGCGGAGTCCTAAGCAGGACAGGGCTTACCCTTTCAGGTTCTGGCTCACGGACGTGACTATGTGGGCGGCGGCTGCGGCGCGAGAGGTCCTCCCAGAACAGCAGGGACCCGCAGTTGCTCTACGACTGGGAGGCGCCACGCGCAGCCTTGCGAGGAAGATACCGCAGGAGCAACTACGCGACGGAGCGTTTGCAGACCCAGGCGACAGGAACAGAGCGAGGCAGCTAACTGGTCTCCAGCTGCTTCTACTTGTGTTGTCGAAGTCGTTCGCGCCGCTGGGTGATGAGAGCGAGCTGCGCGCGACCCACGACATGTTGGGATTATACCGGAAGAACCACGAGAAATTCGACCAGAGGTTATCGAGGTTCGAGGTCACACGCACGAGAGCGGCGACATTAGGAGGATTCGACATGGGCCCGCAGGGCTACGCGTGGATGTTGCTGAACGCTCTCAACTGCAGCCCGCAGGCATGGAGCGAATTGCTCATTCACTTCTGCGAACATCTACCTAGAACGGAGCAGCAGTTCAATGAGTTGGTCGAGTACGTCAGGAGGTACGGACACATTCTAGAGAAGGGGCCGATGGCAGTCAACAGGAGCAGCGGTAAAGGCGGCTACAGGGGCGGCAGCTTCTTCTTCCCCACCTTCAACCTCGGTGGTGGAGGAGGACAGCAAGGCGATGGACATGACGGAGGCATCGGATTCGGAACGGCAAGCGGCATGACGCCTGCCAGAGCTTATCCTGCAGCTCAAGAAGCCCAAGGATCGGGGTGGAGTCCTTCGGCACCATGGTCATCGGCAGCAGGTTCACCCGACCCGTGGGCCAACTGCGTGGGTTCAGACAACGCCGAAGACAACGACACGGACGCAGACGAAGACGACGGCGAGGACCTGGACGGATCGGATTTCCCCGGCACCATGGGTAAGGACAATAATGTGATCCAGCAGTACCTCTACCAGAACTACGTTTTCCACAAGAATCGCTGGAGGAGATTCACAGGTCGGCCCAATCGTTTCCAGCGCTTCAGTAAGGGTAGAGAGCGGAAAAGGATCACTGATACCCTTCCAAGGAGCCCTCGGACAACGAGGACATGTAGGCAAGGGCTGCCACTTCGAAGGAAAAGGCAGACGCAATCCAATCGGTCGAGATGGCTAGTTGAAGAAGTGCTTGACGAAGGAATGCGAGAGCGAGTTCCACCTGGTGAAGGACTGGCCGCACAGTCAAGGCGGGAAATCGAAAAAAAAGATCCTTCATCACCGACGGACCTCGTCCGGTTGCTGGACCTGGTGCTGGCGTACCCTGGTTTGGATTCAATACCGGTACTGCGGCCAACTCGTCCACGGCGGCCGCGACCTTTCCGAGCACACTGTCAGCACCAGCCTACGCCTCAGGAGCCATCAGTTTCTTCATAGCAGAGAACACCGTTACCAACGAGATGCCAGAAGCTGCTGGTAGCAAAGCGAGCGTGGCAGGCTCGAAAGCATTTGTTGGACCTGTGATCGCACTGGCTGTGGCAGAGCCGAAGATGGCGATCGAGGATCGACGTGAACTGGAGGATGGACCCAAGGCGGCCCTGCCGAGTGCGACCTGGGAACCCCCTTCGAGACCGAGCGGACCATCATCGTCGGCGAGCGGAGGACCAGCCTTTCATATGATGAGCATGCCGAGCGTAAGCGAGATGATGAATTTGACGACCCTCGGACTCACGCCAGATAAACCAACCTTTGGAATCGACCAAATACTGGGTCTGTCTTTTCCCTTGACGCCTTCTGGAAAGACCGCTGGGGCTAAACCATTGAGTCCTCCGACCCCGCCACCGGGCATGGTCTTAGCGAAGGCAGCTACGCCGACAGCGACACTGACAATGCCAAAAGGATTGAGGAGTTTTGACATCTACAAGAAGAAAACCCAGAAGGGGGCCTTCAGCATCGGCGGCCTCACGTTCGCGGCAGTTCCGCCGAGAGCGTCGGTCACACTGCCGAGCGCGAACGGCACGGCAATCAGCGTCGTCATGCGGAAGGCTACGTACTTGCCAAGTGGTGGTGAATGGTGGTGGCGCAAGCGACCAGAGAAGAGACACGCGCAGTCAAAGCAACTGACGCTGGGCGACTGGCAAGCCGACAGTACAGTCGAGGGTATCTCAAGGATCGCCAAGTGATTGGCGAATCCCACCAGCTCTTTCGGGCGTGAGTGGATTAATTAGCGAATTTCTTCTTCCAGCCCCTCCTTCATCACCTCGAGCTGGAACAAATCTCGAGCTCACCTGGGGACGACACTCACGCGGCCGTCGTCGCAGAACAGCACGTTGACCTTCTGGTTTTCGACGACGAGTTCGAGAGCTACTTCGACGTCGAGGAGAAGCGTGCCCTGGATGACGGGTCGAGCACGAGGACTACAACAAGGACAATAGCGTCGACTTCGCCGACAACGAGGACTTTCACGGGGTCGTCTGGACGCTGAGCAAGGAGAGCGAGACCCACTACCTCGGCCACGAACGGACTAGGCTCCACAACGGGGACATGGGCATCCTTGTCGACCCTGGAGCACACGGGAACCTCGTAGGTGATCGGTGGGCCAAGCAGCAGGCAGCCAAGGCATCGCGTTTCGGCCACACAACCGAAGAGATGCTGCCGAACGAACCCCTGGGGGTTGACGGCGTCGGCAAGGGCCCCGACGATTGCCACCAGCAGTGGCGACAACCGATCGGCACGCAGGAGGTCAGCCAAGAGAGCGAAGGCACCAGCAACCTGGACTCGCACACGGCACCCATCACTCCCGACAGCAACGTCCCAGCACCACTTGGAAATAGTTCCCTGAAGAAGCTTGACGCGATCGTGGAGCGCGGCCCTGGCAGTCTACACCTGTGCGGGCCAGGACGTCGAGAGCTGCCTCCACCCGCCGGCACGAGGAGCTACCACCTGGAGGCCGCCAGGAGCGAGCACTGGCTACTTTCCTGTGCTCGAAGTTCAGGAAGGCTGCCGCGACGAAAGCGACGGGACATAGGACCGACAAGCTGCACCCGAGGCCCGAACGACTCGACTTCGGGATGGCTGAGACCGAGAGCGAGACGAAGCCCCCCAAGGACCAAGATGGGCAAGGTCCTGCTACCACTAGAGGCCTCCTAGATGGGAGTCCGAGTAGATGGGGTCGGAGGACCTCGCCGCATCGCCGATACATCGGCGATGCATCGGCGATGCATCGGCGATGCATCGGCAATGCACTGGCGACGTCGGCGATACATCCGCGACGTTGGCGTGGAGAAAATTGGGCCCGCATCGAGCCGCATCGCCGACGCATCGCCGATGCATCCACGATGCGGCGCGATCCTCCGACCCCATCTACTCGGACCCCATCTAGGAGGCCTAGAACCACGGGATACGGCGTTGCACCGGGCAGCTCTGGGCAGGGAGCAGCGCCCCGCGCGAGGCTCGGAGCAGCAGCCGCCTCCGAGCCCGCGGCGGCGCTCGAGCAGGAGACGGCTCACAGTGAGCTGCGCGTCGAGGACGAGCCGCAGGCGGCTCCCTCAGAGCACCATTGAGGGTGCAGGGCTCTGGTCGCGGCGGCCGAAGCAGCTGCCGGACGCCAAAAGGCGCCGCCGCAACAGGTGCAGGCTCTTAGTCATCGTCTCGGATTGGCCACGACGATGAGAGCAGCGAGAAAAGGAGGCTGGACAATCGCTCAAGTGCTGGCCTACGACCAGGGATACGGTAAAGAGTTTCGAGATCTTGAACGGCAGCATACAAAAGGACGGTTTCGACTGCTTTTGGCAGATTTACCTGGACGCCGTGAAGCCGAACGGGGACAACGTCCACAACAACGTTTACGGTCTTGAGGAGTGCGTTCGAGCTCAAGCGGCCGGAGGTGGAGCTGCTATGCTGATCGCTGAACGTGGCAGCGCTACGTGGGCAGACCCGACGGTCATGCGATTGCGGGCGGAGCTACCTCACGAGGCTCCACTGGTGCTCCTTCGACGTGCCCTCTTCCGGACGAGTCCAACGAGCAAGGTTGGAGCGCGACCGGGTCGAACACATGCAAGCGCCTTTGATGGTGAACGCGAAGCCTTGCGTGTGCCAGGGCAAGGGACGACGGCACAAGAGTGACTGGAGGAGCTCATCAGGCAGCGACCAGCGGAAGCAGCAACGAGACGAACAACACTTACAGTACATTGTGGCGATGCTTCGGGAGATCAACGACGCCCTCGTTATTGGGGGTAACCGTTCACCACCAAAGTCGAGTACCAAGCAAGTCATGATTACGGACATCCACCAAGAGGAGAGCTCATACCCGACCGACGCCAGGATGCACATCAAGATGAAGGCCATGGTCGACAAGCCGAAAGAGGCTCACAGGAAGAAGTTAGAGATTGAGAATCATTTCGATGATTGCGGTGACTCCATCAATGAAGTGGCTGGGAATGAGCAGCGAGCTCTTCGCGATCTACGAGGAACATGAGACCTACTCAGACGACGACGCCTACCTCGCGCTCTTCACGGAGGAAGAGTTCTACGATGGTGGATGTTCGGTCTCTTATCTTCGCGGACTCGCAGGTGACGATGGAGCTACGTGAAGCGAAGGCCCTGGAGTTCGTCGAGCCGCCAGTCTCACACATCTTGTTGCCTTTCTTGCGAAGTCGACGTCTGGCATTGACGTTCTTGAGATCTGTGAGGGAGGAGGCTACGTCAGTCCCATCTGCGTTCGCAGGTAATGTCGAGTTGGACCTACCTTCGATATCGTATGCGGCTCAGATCTTCGGAATGAGGACGAACAGTGGTCTCTCTGGGGCTACGCGGAGCGCGGTGTGATGGTCGTGGTGATGGCTCCTCCCTGCACTGCCCACGGCCGCTTCTCCAGCATCAACATGTTCAACGCCAGGGACAGCTGGATGGAGAGCTACGAGAGATGCCAGCCGTTGGCCATCACATGCGGAGATGTGGCCCTCTACCAAATTGAGCGAGGACGAGGCTTCATCAACGAGAGTCCGGCTTCATCAACGAGAGTCCGGCTGGAACCACCGTGGCGACGCGTTGCGGTGTACCCTGGAGATGCATACGCCATGGTGGATCAGCGCATAGCAGTCTTGAGAAGCTCAACCGGAGTGCCGATGAGGAAGAGGACGGAGCTTTGGGCAGCACACGAGGCTCTATTACGACATACAGCGATGCTTCAGTGCGACGGCGGACACGAGCACGAGACGATTGAAGGCAGAGAGGAGACAGCGCGGGCCAGACTATGGCCCTGGTCTTTCGCAGTTTCCATGGCAAACGGCATCATGGACTACATCTCCGAGGTGGCAAATCAGGACGTGAGGCACTAGGCGGCCTATCCTGGGGCTGCTGCAGCGGCGCTGGCGGATGAGCACGAACCGTGGTGGCCGCCGTGGGCGCAGCCGCCGTGGGACGCGGCGGGTTCCGCAGAACCCGTCGCTTCCTGCCCCGCCGGGGCCAGCAGCATGGAGGCGCATCACTGCCAAAAGGACGGACGATTCCATCCCCGTGGCGCAGCTAGCGCCAGCGGTGGCGGCGGCTCCCGAGAGCAAGGCACCCGTGCCTCCAGCCGAAGCGAGAGTTCGTCCGGTGCGCACGGGACGGCGAGCACACTCAGAATGGAGCTGGAGGACGTGCAATGGCACCCACGTGGCACATACGCGTATACCTGGAGAGTGCAGATTGGCGAAGCGTGGAGCACGGACCTGGAGGTGTCAGCTGTGTGCCCGATGAAGGCCAGAGACAGCGCCAGGACATACGCTTACCGCCGGACCGTGCAGGTGGGCTACCGAGGTGGGTCCACAACCATCAGGACGACGACGCCCAGCTCGAGCAGCGGCCAATGACCCAGCTCCAGGAGCTGGAGTGTCTCAGCCTGATGGAGTTGTGGATGCTGGAGATGTACCGGACGGAGGAGAGATTGCCGCTGCTCCAGCACCAGCGGCACCAGAAGAAGAGCGGGCCATGGATGGAGATTGGTGGAGCGGGGACTTGGGCTCGGCGAGGCGCGCGCTG